CAAATCCCATCCTTCCTTGACATAAGCTGTGTGACCTTGAGCTGTTCACGTAGCTTCTCTGAGCCTGTTTTCTTAACTGTAAAATAGGATAATAGAACCTTTTTCACAAAACTGTATTTCTGTTTTCATTGAACAAAACCACATCTGTAGAAATATCTAGCCCAGTGTCTGGCACATAGTAGAAGCTCAGTACATTTTAGCCACTCCTGCTTCACCTGACCCCTTAAAATGCAAAGTCTGGGGCTAACGGAAGAAGGGGAACCCAGGAGAATTCTTTGTATCCAGCCTGCAGGGGGTCCCAGCTTATGGGGGGAAGGGGAACTCTTAGAAAGGGAGACTATTCCAGAGGACAGAAGGAAGCCCACACTTGCTTGGCAATGTGGCTTCCTCTTCCATCCCTGCCCTTATCTGGAATCCATTCATCTGTTCCCCATCTTTCCACCTATTTATCCACTACCCACCCTTGTATCTATCCACCCACCCACTTTCCTATCTGCCCATCCACTCCCCCTCCCATCCATCTATCCATCCACCCACCCTCCATTTATTCACTCCATCACTTACACCTGCAAGCATCACTGATGCATTTAACTCTATGCCAGATCCATGCCAGGCCCTAAGGAAGCAAAGGTGGCCAGGAACTTCAGTCCAGCAGGGGACACAGGCTTTGGACTCAACCATGTGGGAAGTGCCCCTACAGGAGGAGGGCCAGTGTGTTCCCAGTGAGGAGAGTAAGGAATTCTGTCTAGGAAGGACCATTAGAGGGGATCTTCCAAGGATGAGCAGGAATTCAGCATGGAGAGAGGACAAGGGACCGGCCATCTGTACAGATGGCCTAGCATGTGCAAAGGCTGGGGGAGAGAGAGAGAGAGAGGGAGACACCAAGTACTCAGCACAAATACTGAGCCTCTTCCAGACCTCACAGAGAGCCAGGCAGAACTGGGAAGGTCCCTGGGGCTCAGGATGACTCCTCCCACCTCCCATGTTTATCCTGCCTTGGCTCCCAGCCAGGCTGCAGCCCACTAATAGGCCCAAGGATACCTGAAGAGCTGGGGGAGCTGGGCCATGATGGACTTAGTGCTTGTGTGTGCGCGCACGAGTGTGTGTATGTGTACATGCACAAGCACGTGCATGGGTGTGATTTACCGCCCCCTCTAGGAGCAGCCCCCTTCCTGCTCACAACTCCACCTGCCCCATTCCCCACCATGCCCATCTTCCCTTGTGCTGCTGGTCAGGAGGGTTTGCATGTTAGCATGGGAGGACTGGAGGTGGGGGGTAGTGTGATCAGCGGCTTCAGGGCCATGCACCAGGAAGCCACCATTCTTGTTCTTGGTGAGGTGATTATCAGCACCCAGGATATTGACCTTGGATCTTATCAGAAGCCTGTTTTGTGGAGAGCACACACATTCTTTATGAGGACACCGAAGGACTATTACCACCAGGAAGGCAGTGGGACGCTAAGGTCAGCTGATAAATTGAGAGACATGGTAATGACACCACCAGGCAGCAGCTTTATGGTCCTGCCCCAACCCTTTCTAGAAGGACTTAGTCCCTTGAATATGTGAAGTCACAAACATGACATCTTTTTTAAAAAAATGTTTTTATTGATTTTAGACAGAGGATGGAAGAGGGATAGAGAGAAACATCGATGTGAGAGAGCAACATGGATTGGCTGCCTCCTGCTTGCTCCCTACTGGGGAACCAAACCTACAGCCCCAGCATGTGCCCTGACCAGGAATTGAACCAGTGATTTCTTGGTTCACAGGTTGATGCTCAACCACTGAGCCACCCCGGCTGGGCACAGGACATCTGGACAAGAGTATATGACAGCTGAGTGGGTGACTCTACCTAAGTGTAATGTGTATGTGAGAGAGAGAGAGGGAGAGAGACACCCCAGAACTCTGGCTCAGGCTGTGGGAGTCAGCTGGTGTCTACAATGCTATAGGCACCAGACATTAATTTGATCAATTTTCCTTCCCCCATCTTAGCTGAGTGGGTGGTGTGGCCCGTTCCTCAACATTTTTTAAAATCATTCATTTGTTTATCCTTACCCGAGGAGTGAGGATATTTCCCCATTGATTTTTAGAGAGAGGAGAGAGAAACATAATGAGAGACACAGCGATTGGTTGCCTCCTGCATGATCCCCACTACCCAACTGGGGCAGGGATCGAACCTGCAGCCCAGGTATGTGCCCTTGACCTGGAATTGAACCCATGACCCTCTGGTACACAGGCCAACACTCTAACCACTGAGCCATGCTGGCCAGGGCTGTGTCAGTTTCCTGTATTTTCATTTTAAAAATTATTATTATTATTATTTTTTAAATATATCTTTATTGATTTCATAGAGAGGAAAGGAGAGGGAGAGAGAGAGAGAGAGGGAGAGAGAGAGAGAAACATCAATGATGAGAGAGTCATTGATCGGCTGCTTCCTGCATGCCCCCAAGTGGGGATCGAGCCTGCAACTCGGGCACGTGCCCTGACCGGGAATCGAACCACGATCTCCTGGATCCTAGGTCAACACTCAACTGCTGAGCCATGCCTGGCCCGGCATTAATTATTATTTTTTAAAAATATGTCTATTGATTTCAGAGATAGGGAGAAACGTCAATGATAAGAGAGCCATTGATCGGCTGCCTCCTGCACGCTCCCTGCCAAGGATCTAGCCTGCAGACCAGGCCTGTGCGCTGACTAGGAATCAAACCTCTATCTCCTGGATCCTAGGTGGATGCTCAACTGCTGAGCCATGCCTGGCCGGACTCTTATGTTCTCATTTAAACTGGCTTTGTAATCTTGCTATTATCTTTCTCATTAAGGAGTTTAAAAATAAACACAAACAGCCCTAGCTGGTTTGGTTCAGTGGTTAGAGCGTTGGCAGGCAGACTGGAGAGTCCTGGGTTCGATTCTGGCCAAGGGGGCGTACCTTGGTTGCAGGCTCAATCCCTGGCCCCCAGGATGTGTTTGGGAGGCAACCAATCAATGTGTCTCTATCACATCGAGGCTTCTCTCTCCTCTCTCTCTCTCTCCCCCCTTCCACCCCCTGAAAAGCAATGGAAAAAATGTCCTCGTTGAGGATTAAAAAATAATAATTAAAAAGAAAAACAAGAACAAACAAAAAACTGAAGTACAGTCCTTGTCTAGTTGTATGGGAATTATTTCTAAGTTTTTGAATATTCTACCTGTTCTCTCTCTCTCTCCCCTCACATCAAGAATCATGGGACAACTAGAAAGGCTCCCTGGGACTAGACGGATGCTGAGGGCAGCAAGGCTGGTGGGCATAAGCCCTGAGGGCACATGGGTGGCCAGGGAACAGTGACCACAGCTGAGAGCTCAGGCAGCCAGTCCTGAGGAAGATAAGGGGGAGGGGCTGTGGCCCAGGACAAAGAGAGCCTTATAGATGGAGTGAGGCCTCAAGGGAGGTCCCAGGGGGCCCTAGCTGGAGGTTGGGGGTGGGTGGGCGTGGAGATTCAAATTTCAGATGCATCTCTAGCCTGAAGGGTTTTGGGCCCTTGTAGAGCTCGCACTAATACGCCCC